GGATTGTTGATATTAGTCAACAATATTGTCTGTTATAACAGTTTTTTCATGTTTTAATATCACATCATTACAATTGCAAAAGTGTCTCAAAAGGCGAAATCGTCCAAAATCTTATTGTACTTATTCTGATTCTAATTTTAAAGTCAAATCAATGGCGAAGGTGAACACAAAAGTGACTTGAAAATTGTTCAACAGCGTAAATAATAACAAATGCAAGATGCGATTGTATTATCATTTGGTGCGCTCATTGTTTAACCCGAACAATAAAGTGTAATAGACAAGGCAAACAGTGAAAGACGCTTTTCACCCGATTCTTGTATTACATTACAAAACAAAATTGGACAAAGCTAATAGCAATACAATTGAAGGTCACACAGATTTTCAATGAAAACAGCTATTCAAATACACAGAACCCAATAGACTGAGCAACAGAAATAAGAAATTTTCACTTAAGGTAAAGGGAGAAAAGAAAAGATGAAAAAAAGAAGAAGAAATGATCGATTCTTTTACAGTGATTCTCATTCCCTGGCCATTATCTTACAATATGCATATTAACTCCTCTCATACCTTTGAACCTCCTCTTTGTGTCACCTCGACCTTTGTTGGGATAACCTTTATTACCCTTTGTCCCTTTGTATGTTGACCTCTACCCATTGTAACTTCATTGTATATTAACCTTTTTTTTGTGCAAACAAAATTGAAAAAAAGCTCTACAAGACGAACCAACGAAAAGTGAAACAAACATTTCTTTTTGAAAAACTTTAAAATCTTTTCACCTTTTGTCATCAGACTTTGACTTTGTTAGTTTATTATCATTGTTGCTGTTGTTATTATTAAAGTTACCCATAATTTGATTCGGACAATGAGCTTAATCTCAGCTTTTGATCATCCAGCTAATAATGATTAACAATCAATTATCTTGCTACTTGTTAACTGACGACTAAAAGCACTATTCAACCATCGATTCATTGTTCATCTTCATGTTTCAAGAGTTATCTTCAAGTGATTTATTGTCGTCAATTGTTATTAAATTTTCCAATCAAACACAATACAAAATGCACTTTTAGTATTTAACGTCTTTTTTGTTCAATTGCAATATCGAAAGGTAAAGGGCTTAAACACGGTTATACATTAAACTTGGTCCCTTCAATGGATGCTTGTTATAAGGGAAAATGATGTGAAAAGTTGGGTTGGAAACAAAATCAACAATAAATTGTTATTGTATTGAGATGAAAATGAAGATGATTATTAAATGTGTGACTCTTTGTGTATCCATTGTTACATGAGTATTTAATTCATTGAATTCATCTTTCATTCAATTGCAACAATTGAGATTGCTTAAGATGTAACATAAGGATCTCTTTGATTATGCTCTTTCAATCAGATTCAATGGTCAATGCAAAGGCTCATTGTTAACTTGTTTAAAAGCCTTCAATTTCAATATCCAATCAATTCAACTTTCATTAATCTTAATCGAAAACCAAACAATTTTTAAATCAGAAAAACTTTACAAACAAATTCAGTGTTTTCATTGCGATTTTCACAAAGAAATAAAAGTTGAAAATGATTTTTCTAGAAATTTGAATTCTTTTGCAAAAACAAATGCCAAGTAAAATTGATAAGTTTGGCAGCAAATATCGAAATGTTCAGGGAAAAATATTTTTTCTTTCAGAACTTTTTGTCAGCTCAAGTTGATTTTGTGTTTTTCAATAGATTTTTGTTTCTCTTTTCATTCTTATTATATCATTCAATTGTGCAAAGTTAACTTTTTCATTGAGAGTTAATTGAATGAACACAATGGAAAAGGAATTGAAATTATTGAATTATTAATGAACAATTGGTTGACCTTTGTTGCCATTTTGTTCCCATTCAATTAACTTGTACAATATGAAGTTGGAATAAAGTAACAAGAAGTTTACTTTGAGTAAAGAAAAGGCAGCCAACTTTTCATGATAATTTCAAATAGAAGTGATATGATTCACTTGGAAACACTATTAGCTATTATTATTAGTTTGTTTTTCAATTTAAAACTCAGTGAAACACAAAAAAAGGCAAACTTGAATCAATTTATTCACAAGTTGATTGAAAGTGCGAACAAGAAGAAAAGAGGAAAAACTTCTTTCGCCATTCAAATCATCATTTTCTTGATTCCATGTTTGCATTGATATTTATTATAATATTTTTATTTCCCAAATAATGTATGTTTTGGACGATAAAAATCAAGTGACTGTGCAATCAGAAAAGTTGAACAATGCTAAGTTGAACTTCATTTGTGATCAAGTGTTGTCAGTTTGAAACTCATCTTCCTTATTCAATATTCATCAATGATGATGCGGATGCTGATAAGTCTTTTTATTATCATTATTATTACTATTATTGCTCCTACAACTGCTCTAATCGGATAAAGGAAAATATTATTATTACAATTTTTTCTTCTTCTTTTGCATTTTTCTTTTGGTGAGAAAAAGAAATGATTTTTGAGTGAAAAAAAAGTTTTATTTCTGAGAAAAGCTGTTTTCATATAAACATTTAGAGTGATTGGTTGTGATGGAAATGATTGGTTGAGATAATATTCAGTCAACCGATGACAGTTTCATCAAAACAGACATCATCATCAACTTCATGCTTTTATGAATTTCATCTTTTTTCCCTTTTATCTGGATTTTTGAGTTTTTTTGTGATCATTTTTTTCCTTTTCTCACTTGCATTTCAAATGTCATGAATTGTCAATTTAAACATTGAGAGAGAGAAAGAAACGGAAATAAATTCTAAACTGATTCAGATTCATGATTAAATGGTATTCATTTGGTTTAAAGTTTAGATTTAAAGTCGACAATTGATGTTGATAAAAGCAAGTTTCTGATCATTTTTGCGTTTCTTTTGATTTTCAGTTTTTTTACTATCGATTTTAGTGCAAATTATTTAGTCGTTAGTGTTGAACAAAATTAAGCAGAAAATTAAATGTAACAATTTCGTTATGCGCAATTTGAATTCAGTGTTTTATGAGCCTTTAATGCAAAACCAATCCATTTGTCAGGCTTTCATGTTAAGTGTTACATCTTGATTTGGATTGGTGAGTTTACTTTGCACGGTAAAATGCCAGTTTCGCAATGAAAAAATGTTTTTTTTGAAAAATCACTCTTCTGAATTTGCAATATTTAATCGATTCCATACAGAACTTTGTAAATAAAAAAGATTCATTTTCTGCTGGAATTGCAATGATTGGTAAACGAATTTTCGATTAAAATGACAGCAAACGTCCAAAATCCAAATAGCGACTTTTCAAAATTCAGTGAAATTTTCTCAAAGAAACATTTTACATAAAACTCACATTTTCTGTAAAAAGTATACTCTCTCTGTCTTGGATAGAAAATAAAAATGGCGAAGTTCCACAAGCAATTGAACGAGGCCAATCAACTACTTTCGACTAATGAAGAATTAGTTAATGCGATTCAGATCCGGAATTTTGACTACTACTAAGTTAAACTCAAAATTTTTGCAATGAATCCTTTGTGAGCAAAATAATCGAAAGAAAAAACCGTGAAAATTCATGAAATGTTGAAATTACATTCATTTAGTGATTTAAATTCATTGAAAATGTGAAAAAATGATTGAAGTTTGCTGATCTTCCGAGTAAATTTTCTCGATTCTTGTTGTTTATTGCTCAAATATCGTAATTGCAGATAAATCTGGAATGAATTTTGTAATTTTAAATCAGAAATTCTTTTTGAAATTGTTTCTTCAAACGTTTCTTATAACTCAGTCGTTTAAACACAATCAAAGTTATTGTTTACCGAAACTTGAACTCAATTGTTGAGCAGAAAAGCATTAACTCGTCGTTAAGTGTTTCAAAGGATTGTGAACATTATCAAGAAACAATTGAGAAAGTTATTAATAAAGAAATAAGAAAAGAGGAAAATTGCGAATTTCAGCAAAGAATCTGTAGAATGTTTTTTTCTCAATGAACTTGATGATGAAAATTAGCGCAAAGATGAAGCTTGAAAATGGATAAAGATAAAAAATGGATTTATTAAAAAAATTTTCCATTCTGTTTACCTTGCTATTATAAATTGTAAAGATGATGATGAAAATGAAGGCAAAAAAGAGTTGATAAATAGTTAATGAGTCGAGTCATTATGGTTTTTTGATCATCAGAGCATCATCATAATATCTTTAATCGTGTTTGATAAAAATTTGTTTCCATTGATGATGGTTGAATGTGCATGATGAGCTTCTTTGATTAAACTGTTGGTTGCTTTTGCCAATAAGATGGTAAAGACAGTAATTAGTTGATACAAGTAATCATCATGAACACCGATAAATGATTATGATGAGAAAAGTTGTTCATTAGGTTGGGTTAAGATGAGAATCATTGTGATGATTAAGATGATTCTTGTGGTTAAAAGATGGAGAAGTGAAAAGTTACAGGAAACATAAGGAATGAGAAAAATATGAAGATTGTTTCAGATGCTTTCATGATCAACAATAAACTTTTATCCAGAGTTGATTGTTGATGAGAGTGAAAATGCAATTTTATCTTTATATTTATATCCAGTTGTGTGTCGCTTTTCAATTTATTATTTATAAAAATGTCTTACAGAATAATGATGAGACCCGAAAATGTTTCTTATAACATTTCCTATTCCGGTTACAAGTCTTTTAATCTATTTATTACTTATACTTTAACAACTATTAACCAACCAGATAAAGACTAACAAATAGGTGAATAGTTAATGGTGTTTTATCATTTACAATAAACTGTAATATACCGTTATAATAATAGTAATGATCAAAAGTTGAGCCAATTTTGTTTTTGGTTACAAGATTGCTGTTATATGAGTCTATGTAAATCATTTTTTGGTCAATTTTAAGGGCCATTATTGGACAAGTTCAAGGGCTTCTTGAGATTTATTAAAATAGTGTCATTTGAAGTGCGCGCTGAAATTAGAATCACTTAGCAACTTGCGTTTATGCAAACATTACAATCAATTTTTCAAAAATTATTTTATAAAATTATTTTAGTGATTTTGTTTAATTTGTTTAGTATGTTATAAATATTCAATTAGTTTTTCGATAAGAATACAATAATATCTTAAGGATAGTCAGCTCTGGTGCAAGTTATTCTGGTCGATCAAGAATATTCAGCTTATTTAACTAATGGAGTTGGTCAACCCTTGCTGAGGTTTACTCCTAGCGAAGCAGTTCCTGCCAATGTGTCTTGAAGTAATCGTGGTTTGATTGAATCTGTCGCCAAAGTTGATTACAAAATTTATGGTTTGGAATCAGTCACGAAATTCATCTGATAATCCCGCTTTGGTTAACCTAAAGAAAGAGACATCAAGTTATTGTTTCTTTGTTACAGAGTAAACTAATTTTCTCTACTTGTTATAAACACTTTCCACTCTTCACTCATGATTCCGTGTTTTATGCTAATTTCTTTTGTCCTTTTTTCAGAAATTTGACTTCTTATTCTGATCCATTTTTTGTTCAATTACAGCCTTGGCTCTCATTTGGTGCAAAAATTTTAAAGTGGGGATCATTTTGGCCACTCGTCCAACTGGATTGAATGAACTGTAAATTTGGACTCTATTTATATCAAGAGGCTGAAATAAGACGCTATTGAACCATTAGGCTTTCAGTGTTTGATGTATAGTGTATAACAGTGATGATGATGAAGATAAGCATATTCAATTAGCTGCTTCTTGATGGTTAACCATAATTTCATGCTTTTTTAAAGTGAAGAGAAGAAAAAACAGAGAAGAAAACAATTTTCATGAATAGCAATTTATATTTGTTGTTGTGGTCAATCACAAAACAAAATCAACAAACAACGTAAATACAAGGTTACTTCGTGACTTGAAGTTGAAAGTGGGCCACTCCTTGAAAACCACAAAATATGATGATGATGGGAATGATGAAAAGTTGGCGATTGATGGTGAAAGAGAATGAGAAAGAAAGAAAAAAAAAGGTGAAAGAAAATCAGTGATTTCTCATCTTCTCTCGCTTATTGAATGTGCAAAACTTTTATTTTTCCTCATCTTGCTCATCTTCTTGTCTCTCCTCCTTACATGGAGAAAGTATCTTTCATTACTTTTCAACCAAACCTTAGACTGTTGTTTGCTGTTGTCATGATTAGCCGTTGAAAACCGTTGAAAGGTAATAAACAAACAACAACATGATTGGTAACACACAATGTTGAAACACGAGAATCAAAACAATATTGATGTGTTGAGTTGTCTGTGTGTGTGGTGTTTATGGGTCTGGCTTCAGTGGCTCACTTGATGATGATGAGAGGATAAAATGATGAAAATAGCGTTGAATAACAAGTAATCATCAGAACCAGTGTTAATAAATATATACACATAATTTCATTTGATAACCTTTGTGAGAATGTGAAAAAGAAATGAATGAACAAAAAAAAGGAAAAATGAAAAAATAAATAAAGTTAAATCACTTCACTTTTTGGGTTAGTCATGATTTTTATCATGATTTTCAACACTAATTTTAACTTTCATCACAACAAATGAACAGACAATTTACAAGGTAAAATAAATGATAATAATAATGGCTAACTGAAAGGTAACATTGTTGGTGAAATATAACAAGATTAATTGATGTGCTTATTATTATTGTTGAACTACATGAAAATTGTTGCTGGAAAAGGTTGAGAAAGGTAGAAAAGAGAAAAATTGCTTTTCTTTTTTTGCTGGTCAAACCTTTTTCCTTACCTTTTCCATTTTGACCAAGATAATTATGAATTTAAATGGACTCACTTCACTTGGCCCACCATCAGAAGCAATGTTAACAATGAAAATTTAATCAACACAATTTAATAATCATGATAATCTTTCTATTGTTGCTTCTTCTTTTATCATGTTTTATTAATTTTTGCCCTTTTTCCAGTTCTTTTGTTTTTCCCTTCATATTTCAAAATTGAAAACCTTCCCATATTGTTAACATTGTAATATTATTAACTTGTTTCAAAAGCAAACAAAAAAAGTTAATTTATAAACAATTTGCTTGAAAAGTTGCCTTTTTCAGCAATTTATTTCTTTCAGAATCACAAATCTCTCTGAAAATGCGAGTATTTTGTGCAAAAAAACCTGTAAATGCAAAAGTGTTGAACAATGAAATTTTTAATGTAATTGAATGAATAACAAGAAATGCTGAATATATTTGGTTAATGATTGGCTAATGAATATAAAGTGGAAAGTAAATCAATAGTTTCCAATGTAATTGTGAGACACTTGAGTCTTTTAACATCAATTGAATTTGGATAAAAGTGGAAAATTTGAATTTATTTTTCATCTTTTCTTGATTATCAAGAGTTTATCATGAATGGGAAAATGCATGTTCTTTTGAATCTTCAAATGAATTGAATGTAAAAAAGTGGATTAGGAATGATTTGTGTTGCTTTAAACCAGATTTTGGTTAAAATTGAGATGCAAAGATATTCGGCTTTTTGGTAACTCTGATTGGGATTCACTTTCAATTGGTTTAACTGTTCAACTCGTAATCGTAACATTTCAGACGATAATGACTTTCAATTTTGCTCATTCAATTGCGGTGAAACTGTTTTCATTTTTCTGGTTAACACTGAATTATTCAATGTTAACTGTTGACTGAGAAAATAATAATCTTTATAAGTCTCATCGCTATTATTATTAAATGGTTGCCACTGTTAATACTGTTAAGTTGCTCTTTATATTTCTCTCATTGATTAAACAAAGTTGATAAATTGAATTGAATTGAAAGGGAGGAAAGTTTAATCTATCAATAGCAGTTGAGGATTAAGTTTAAACAAGCAAATGTTGTAAAAAAGATTAATCCCATTCTGTAGTTTGCTCATTTAATCAATGGTGACTGAGTCAATGAGAAACTGTTAGAAGTGGATTAAATGATTGAGGAAAAGAGAAGAGAAGAAAAAAACGTTCTCTTCTCTTCTCTTTTCACTAATATTGTTATTGAAAGTGGACAATGTCAATGGGATAAAAATGACAATCGTTTGGGTAACAATCAAAGTTAATCTCAATGATAATAATAATCATATTTTCATCATTATTGTTATGTAATGAATGGGAAAAGATGAGAAAAAATATAAATAAATAAACTGTATTTAAATGCACATCAAGTGTCTAACCATAATTTTGTTTACTTGACATATCAAACCCAATGGTTATGATAATAATGATTTAATAATGAAATGACAATAATAATGAAATTATAATTCTATGGGAACAAAATTGTGTTTTAATGTTTACTGAAACATCCAGCCATTATAAAGATGTATAAATGTCAAATTTTGCGCTTTTAATTAAACGTACAATTGAACATCATCTTGCTGGGTATTATCATTTCATTTCAACCATTAATATGTAAATTCATTGAACATTTAATCTGTTGAACGTTTTTTTTCCTCTTTTTTGTCAGTCTCATGGAAAGTCAATTGAGTTTTGGCTTTTTTTCAAGATCCTTTGCTTGTGGCCATTCATTTCCTTATCATCATTCATCAGCTTGAAATTTATTCAAGGACAGGGAAAGGGAAAATGCAATGAAAAATTGATGATTGAATAAATGTGATCACAATTAATCTGGTAAAACAAGATGAAACATGAAATGCTCAGCTTGCTAAATCACGTAATTTATCTTTATCGAGTGTTTGTTGCAATTTCACCAACAAATCAGGTTAGGGAAAGAAAAATGTTTATCCTTAAGGCATAACTCAAATGGTTCAGGCTTTTATTCATAATAATATCATCATAATCATCATCTCCTTGAGTTGATCCAATCAATTGTCATCTGAATTGAAATTATGAAAGAAGAGGAAAGAAGAAAAAAGAAGAAGAAAAAAAATCAAATTAATATTTGGTATAAAAATATTACATTACCATTACATTGTATGGAAAAGGTGAAATACAATGAAATAGTTTTGTGTGTTGGTGTAAAAAATGTTTTGTTGTCAATGAAAGGTTACAAAGATAATTAAAAGTAAATTTTTTAAATGTTAATGTTGGATGAATAAAGGAATCTGATTTCATTAATAAAAGTTAAAGAAAGGTTAATCATGTGGATATTTGTGTGTATGTGTGTTTATGTGTAGATATCAAGTTCAATTTATGAATAGCAGTTTGTGTGAAAATATTTTTCAAGAAGATGCTATTATTCAATGTTTGTATTGTTCAGCTTTTTTTATACACACAAAACACCACATCACTGAAAAAAGGGATGAATTATACTTTTCCTTTCTGTTTATTTTTCTCTTTGTGTTGAGGTTTCTCTGTTGATCCTGATGGTGGTGATGTTGATGGTGTTGCCGGTGTTGTTGTTGATAGTTTAATGATCTTATGAGTGTAGTATTGTGTTGTTAAATTGATTCCTGTAAAAAGAGAGGAGAGAGAAAAAAATTGTTGAAAAATTTGGCCTGAAATGTTGAAAAAGATTGAATGGACTGGGAGTGACTGTAAGTAAAGGGCAAGTCATTTCTCTTTCTCTTCTCTCTTCACTTTCACAATTCAATTGAATATTGTTAAATTTAGCTCATAAATTAAGGGAATGTTATAAATATGTGTGTAAATTTTGCCTTCTATTGTTGGTTGAAAAGCAAATTGTTGCTGTTGTTAAAAATTGTAGCCAAAATGTATTCAAGTTGAAAAACAATTTCAACAACAGTTATTATGTTATTATGCTTTCATGCTATTTAATATGGATGAAAACGTTAACATTGAAGCAGTTTAACCACTCATTTGTTTCCCGTTTATCTGGACTTTTATATGCCACTTTGTTTGTTTGTCTGTTGTCACCTTTCACAATCAATTATTAACCTCTCTAAATAATCAATTATCATCATGTTTAATTGAATATTTAACTTTAGATGGTTAAAATGGTTTACATGTTTTGCCTCAATTCAGTCAATACAGGAAATGTTGAGCAAATGTGGGGCAATGTAACGACGCTTTTCGTCATGAATTTTTGATGTTGCTATCATTTCTATTCGAAGAGAATCTGCAAAATCTCCTGTTCTCAACTTTTTTAGCCAATCAAATCAAAGCCGTTCCGAATCAAAATTTTGTGCTGATTGTGAATATCTGATTCGTTTACAATCATTCCTCTTACTTATGGAGATATGAAAAGAAGAGTTAAAATTTTGTTTCTTTATATGTAAAAATGATATAAACACTTCAAGTCAATCCTGCAATCAATTTAACCTTTCTTGTACTTGATATGCTGACCTTCAACAACGAAAGTCTAACAGAACATTCATCAAATTATTCAACATGTTTGACTCGATAGATCATGATTAGACTTAGCTGGTTTTGAGGTCTCTTTCAAAACTTGGAATACGTACGAACGTTGAATTTAAAAATGAACTAGATATTCGGAATCAGCATTAAAAATTACATTAAATGAGTTCCTTTCATGGAAATATTTCAACAGGAGATTTTCCTATTCATTTGCAGATGCTCCTTAAGGGTAAAAATGGGAAAAATCAACAAAGAAAATTGCTAATGACGAGCAAACACACAATTTTGGTGATAATAGTGATGGTAAAGATGATGAGAAAGCGATAGATAGTGAGATTGGGTCAATGGGCGAAATGAATGAAGGAGTGAGTGGATGATTGAGGGAGGAGGAGGGAGGATAAAGGCTATAGAATGTGAGGATAATAGGAGTGAAAAGTTTTTTTTTCCTGATTCTGATACAATAGGAATGAAGGGCATAAGATTGGGTGATTGAATGACATTGAGAGTGAGTGAGAGGGAGAGAGAAAGAGATAAGTGCCAATAGAGCTCAATAATTTTCACACAAAGGCAAGAGACAGTAAAAAGATAATACAAGAGAAAACATACAAACACAAAAAGAAGAGTCAAAAGGAATCTTGAAGAAGATAATCCATCATAATATTGCTCCTCTTTTCATTTTTTGCTTTCCCTTCATTTTGTTTGCTTGTTGTTTCTCCATAGGAATCCCATTTACTCTTCATTGTAACACCACTTTCTATTGTAAGGCCACCCGAAAGATGCTTTTCAACCAAATGTATAACATCATTTAGTGGCAATAGAGAGTGAAATCGACGAACTTGAGGCTTTACAATCCTCTTGTTATTGGCTTTTGACAATCCTGCTTCTTTCAGATCATTTGAACTCTTCATCTGAAAATTGGTCAATAACAGGCTCGATGTAAATCATGGTTCAACTCTGGAATGGGCCTTTAATGAGTAGTCGAGGTATGGCAGTGGTTACGTTGCCAACGACAACAATGAAAATGATGATCTACAAAAAAAGGAGAGTTCATGAAATTTGTCAAATGATTGTGGTATGAAGATAATAGCTGTTAGATTGTTACATACCGAACTGGTCCATTGAAAGTTGCTCAAGTGAATTAAATCAATAGCTAAGTGGTTTCTTTAATTCTCTCTTGACTTTTTTGTTTGCCTTTGTTTGTTTCTTTTCTGTCTTTTCTTTCATGTGGTACCTAAAACAGAATCACAGGGAAAGAAGTAGCAAAGGATAGACAAAATAGGATTTCTCAAGTGAGTAATACTTTTTGAATAGGAGCAAGAAAAAGTGATTGTAGGAGTGATGAAAGGAAAAATGAGAGCTTCAATGATGCATTATCATCAGTATGAAAAGGTAAAGAAATGATGAATATGGTGCAAGAGCAGGAACATCAGTTTCTTTCTCAGGTTCCATTGCAAATGAAAATTGAATCCAAATGATTGCATAAATGGCTCACAAATCAGTTTATTCATTGATGTCTGTATGATGAAAAGGGAAAAAGAATTTCATTTGGGATCAAATTTATCAATAAATAGCATTTTTCAATCATTATTATTGTATGTTACTCTTACCTGTTTATTAATAATGTATTTGACTATAAATGTAATGCCTATGACTTTGTATTAATGCGTAAGTCATAGACTTTGCATCAACCAAGTATTGAATCAACTTCAACAAAAGGTTTACTCTTTTGATCTGTATAGTTCTTTTTAGAAGAGCATTAACACCAAATAAAATAACATCGAAAACTATCTTACATGAGAAAAATATCTAAACATGAAAAAAGATTAACATTGCAATCCATCATCCAGTTGAGTTATCACATTTCAGCGAGAGACTATAATCCACTCTTATGTCCATATGGCGTAGGTAACGCTTTTGATGCACCTAAAAGAATGAGAATATCGAAAGATGCAACAATTATTACTTTAATCAGTTTAAATTACTTGTTGAAAGAAGCTTAATTCATCAAGTATCGCTATTTCAAAACTACTAATATTGGTAAAAAACGTTAATTAAACTTACCTTAATGAAATGATGATAAACAACTGGTAAGATCAGATATCGATATGAGCAACAATATTGATATTAAGCAATATGTATCGATACTTTCTGTTGGTTGGAAGTTCAAATTAATTCAAGTTTATGGGTTAACTCAAGCCCTGTTTGAAAAAATGTCTACTTTCTATAGTCTTTAACAGCCAAATTGTAGAATCGCCAGAAATTTTATCTCTAATTAACAAGAAGTTAGATTCAAATGAAAAAAGGTTTAAGTTTAATCATGAACTGACTTTTGGCTTACATTAAACATGGACGTTCTTTGATTCACTACCTGGTTGTATTATTTGATTATTTGATTATTATTTGAACTTGATATTTGCATTCTGAGTTTCTAATATTTGCTCGAAAAAACAGTATCAATAATACAATACCTAAACAATATTTTTGATACTCAATACTTTCAATATATCAATATTTGATCGACCAATATCAATACTTCATGAAAGTACTGTTCATCTTTAACTCTTTCCAGTGTTCACCGTTAGCATTACTTTGCCCCAATCCTATCTATCATAAATCCTATCTTCACACAAAGAGTAACACGAATAAGCAACCAAAATTCATAAATTAATAGTACGCATGCAAAGTTGATTGCAATTAGAAAAGCCATTTGGTAAATTAAAGCGCCAACGTGAATTGGACTTTAGATTTATTACTTCGCTCACTTATTGGATTAAGTTTACATCAAATTTATCTAATTTTTTATAACTTGCGAGAAACTATACAATGTCAGCATCTTTCTTGCTAAATTTTTGCCCATGTTTCAATTAGAGGGAGTCAAACATAATCAATTTTTGGCTTAATTTGCTTGAAAATACAATTTTAATTAACAATTTTTTTGAGTTGGTTACGCCATCTATGAACCATTATTCAATACTAAACTGGTGAAAATTTTTGTGATTTTACTACAACCAGAGTTAACCTCGAATCTCACAAATTAACTGAAATTAGTTATTCTTGATTGTATGAACTCAGGCATCTTAGTTTGCATGAAATCAAAACTCTATTCACAACTATTAATCAAAATGAACTATTATTCAAGAAAGGCACAGTTTGATCAATAAAACACATGTAATTTTAAAGGCATGGTGTTGAAACCGCGAAAAGTTGTCCAGATGCTTTTATTTGCTAACGTTTTTCTCACGTTATTTTGGACTTTTACAAGAATCAACTTCGTAAGTTCAGAATAGTCGAAAGTCAAGAACAATAGCTGCAATTTTTGGTGATCCATCAATTTTGATGAATGTCGTATAATTAGCAAATGATTGACTATTTCTTTCAGGAAACGGCTAATTGATGGTGAACACGGGTATAACATGCGAAAATAAATTTAGAGCATGAAAAAATAAATTAACAACCGGAAAAAGCAACTAAAAGAGGAAGACTTTACTAAAAAACATACATTTTCATATCTTGAATTGAAAAGATAGAAGGCCAGTATTTATGGGAGTAAAGAGAGAAGATGATTATTCAACAATTAGATTTTATTTTGATTCCCTGATTATTTGTATTGAAATTTAACTTCCTTTCTATCCCAGAAAACTAACAGTTAAATGGAAGGGAAAATCTTTAGGTTTTTTACTTATGACGCTGGTGTAAATTATCAAAAATTTAACCATAAATTAAATGAAGAGATGAAATCTTGAGAGTTTTTAATGTAACAGGACATTGTTTTAATCAGCTATGTGAAAAATAATCCTTCGCGCGGTAACAATTTGAATTTATGCAGGGATTGGATTGAAATATAATAGTTAAGGATGGATTGCCTTTCGATTGGTGGCAACATATGAGTAAAGACGAGGAAGGTGAGCAAAAGATGATAGGTAAGAAAAGAAAAAAATGAATTTTCTTTGCGTGAGTTCTTTATGGGTTATGTAAGTGTTTTTTATCCAAAATTAAGGGAAGGAGAGGGTTAACTAAGAAGGTAGAGAAAAAACATCAAAATATGTCCATGCATGTTCATGAGTTTTGTATGTGTATGTGATTGTGGTGTGTATATTATATATATATTTATATGGATGTCTACAATCGATGAACATAGATTGTATGGAATCTCGGCTGATTCTTTGTTTCGGTGATTCTGAGAACAAAAATTTTTTTAATATAATTTGAATGAGGAATTATGCATCATGGAAGATGCTAACCACTTGTGAAGTTATAAACAGCAATTGAAGAAAAAGCAGAGTTTCCATAAACTGAAAATAAGGTTACAATTTAGAGATATAACAGTTTTTTCACAGTCCTTGGTCTTTAAATTGATTCTCAGACGAGTGAAAATATTAATCTTTATATTTAGATTTGTACATCTCTAACTGTTTCTTATAAAGTTCGGCTTCTTTTTCTTTTTCTCTTAACTGGGCTTTATACTCTTCAGCTTCTCGTTTAATCCTTTCCAGTTCTTTTTTTAACCTTTCTTTTTCATTATCACTATTGTTGTTATTATTATTGTTATTATGGTTGATGCTTATGGTTGTTGTTGTTGGAGATGTTATCGATGCTACGGCGCTGTTGATTACTTTACAGCCATTTGATTCTAAATTCAATTTGGAATTTGTAAGGTTAGTAGTTTTAATGTTTGTCACACTGAATGGTTTGCCAGCCACGGCTTTAACAATCTTTTTAATACGTATGGGCTCTGTAGGTTCAGTTAACGTCCCATCCGAATTTGAGCTTAATAAAACTATAGGTGCTGTTACTTGATTAGGATCTAATTCACCGACAATCTGTATCACTTTTCCTTTAAGGTCAGGATCTAATTTCGTTGAATTACTTAAAGTTGTCACAGATGAAGCTGATTGTGATGTAGTCGGTGATAATGATGAGTCTTTTACACAATTTAAAGCCAATTTACCAGCTTCAGTAAGCGATACTGTGCCTCCACTTTCAATTGCCGAGGTAAACATAGATTCCTCAAGAGCTGTTGTCACTCCATGAGTATCTAACCACTGTAATGCTTCAGCAGTTAATTGGGAATTATTATTGATAACATTGCCTGTTGTTTGTCCAGTTGCTTCGGCTAAGGCAGCCAGAGTTGTCAAAACATTGTTTGATCCATCCTCCAAATTAATGCCAGTCCCATTTAATAATTTTTTTAAGGCATCAACACTTGTTTTTGTGAGATTGGCGGTTACTGTGGATGATGATGAAGATGATGTGGATGAAGATGTAGGTGTTCCTTTTACCGTTGAGTTTGTATTCACACTACCTATGGGTTTCACAATTTTTGCAGTCCTATTGGATTTATTGGGTAGCACAGTTGGTCTAGATTTAGGGAAACAACTATTGTTTGCATTGCTTGTGGATCTATTATCCTGTCTGGGTCGTGAAACATTAATATATTTCTAAATAGGAAGAGATAGAAAACATTATTACATTGAAAAATGAAAATAACCTTGATTCCAGCTACATCAAACGAAATTGAGCTTACTTCTAAGAGAGGTATCATGTCTAATCTTCCTGAGTCTCTAGCAATATCTATAGGTGTTTTGTCAAACTTGCTTAAAAGGTTGACATCAGCTCCATTAGCAAGCAGACATTCGACAACATCATAATGTCCTCTTTCAACAGCCCAATGCAAAGGCGTCATCTTGAGAAGATCACGGGCATCAATATCAGCACCATGCATTAGTAAGAGACTAACAATTTGTAAATGTCCTTCTTGAGAAGAAACATGAAGAGGTGTTCTCTCAACTTTTGTCCTGGTATCTCTACTAACTCCTGATCTCAATAGAAATTCCGCTGTATCTGTATGACCATGTTGTGCCGCAAAATGTAATGGTGAGGTGCCTAAAAATTAAAAGAATATCAATTAATAATAAATAAATAAAACAAATACTATGTAAACCTTAAGGTTTTCTTAAGAGTGATAGATAAAGCACGAGTTTGTATGGAAACAAGTATGTTTATGTTGGTGATACCCACAAGAATAACAAACCGAATCATGAGTTGAGCATCAAACCTTAAACATTATTCAATATAATTTGCGAGCTTAAATAGTTTGATAGTCAACCAGGTAATCATCAACACAAGGTAAGATTGAAATAAACACCAAAACATACCAAGCCAATCGGTTGTAAAAGGGGCTCCATTTGCCATTAACTCTCTAACTTCTTCAGTTTCACCGTTTTTACAAGCATCCAAAAGTTTCCTACCAAGATCAAGGTTTCCATTTGAAACCTCTTGACATTGCTCTCCTCGCAACATGATTTTCGATGAGCGGGATGAGATTTTGTTTCTCAGTTTGTTTATCTTCAATTGGTTGAGTAAGTATAAAACAACAATGGTCACAAAACACAATTATAAATTGATATTGATGATGAAGGGGGAAACATGCAAACAAAAAGCGAAAACAGTGGAGACAGCGACTCTTTTAAATGATTTCCTTGGTTTTTTCTGACTGATCAACTGACCAAGTTAAAGTTACGAAGTAAAATTGTGGATATCTTAAACACAATAAACATTTTTAATCGTCTTCCTTATTTATTTTCATAAATAATTTTCACATTCTCAGTCCGATAATTTTGGATCTCCTACAGATTTTCACAGATGTTTCATACATGAGTGAGAGAATCACCGATAGATGTCGCTAAACTTTAACTAAGGGATCATTCAATGATTGTAATAAGAATGCTTTTTTAATTTTCGTGATTTGAATCTTCTATCGAAATGCTAATTTTACACGAATTTAATTGATTAAATGAATAAAGAGATCCAAAAAGAGTGCCGCTTCACAAGACGAGCATCAAAAAAGTTTAAAACAAAACAATCTTATTTTTAATTGTTTATTGACTATAAAAAACATCAATCTTGAACAAATTTACATAAAAAATTTAATTTCAGAAACATAAAGAGTTTAAATTTTGACGATTGCCGAAAAGAGATTGAGTTTATTGAGATCCTTTCAATTGAAATATTTTTCGTTATTACAATTGTATGATTACTTTTTTCCAATTATTGGTAAATATTTTTTGAACTGTAAAAATCAATCACTAAAATACACACAGAATCACAAAATAAAGTGCTTTTCTTTCAAGTTGATGTCAAGGGTTGCCTCCAGCATCAACCGCAGGTAAACCAGTATAACCATTATCTTGTCTTTCAACCAAACTTAAATCACTTGTGTAGATACCACTCAATGTTCCTAGAAAGAGTTAAAATGGTTTAATTAATTGAATGTTTCCATTAAAAAGATGTGATGTCGAGTTTCAAGCTATAGACTGAAAAGGTGACTACAACTTTGAAGTATAGAAACGAACCTGTGGTTGAGAAAAGTAATATATTGGTCGATCCAGGAAAAGTTCCGTTGACTATTCCACTATCTCCATTAGTGGTATTAGCTGAGGTAACTGAGAAAACTGGTCTATTATTATTTTTAACGGTGAAATTCGAACGCGATGGTGCATAGGAGTAATGAGTAAATCTGTCCAGAGTCTCACCACCAGCTTCACCATTTTTGGCCATTACATCAATCTGAAGAGAGAAAAATCAATGTCATTAATATCATGTCGTTTGAGGTGAAAATCCTTGATCTAAATTTTAAGGTGTGCAGAAAGAGTCGGTGATGAAAAACAAACAATGCTGAAGCATGAAAGTAGATTACACTGACAAACTGATTGTGAGTTGAAACTTACCTGAGTTGTACGAACATGGAATGGAAAGTTCCTGTTAGCTTTTGATGGGCGGGTTAATATCTATTCAATTAATGATATTGGGTTAATTATTGTCAAGTATTTACTAAGTATTGTCTTGAATGAAAATAGATTGATACAAATATTACTTACAAAAAATACCAGATGAGCATGCATAGCAATGAAAAGCTCAACAGCATTGATGATCTTTTCCCTCATCCATTTGGGGACAACGAAAGTGGATATAAGTATGACTACAGGAGCTGATATAAACCTGAAATTTGTTGATTAAACATTTTATTAGTAAATATTTGTTAAATTATGACAAAATTATTAGACTTACCAAACACTATAAAGAAGGAAGAGTTTTGTCAGGAATGATGATTTTGATGGATAATGCATCAAGGTAAACACAATTGAATAAACAAACCAAAACCATCCTAAAATCCTTAAAAAAATGATACCATAACCAGGCCAACTTTCGTACATGTAAAGGACTTCACCAGGATCAAAAAACTAATTGAAATAGACATTGTAATTAAAATTAGTTGTTATAAAGCAAAAGCATCAGTAAAACACACGAGAAATTAGATCTTGCAATAAGCTTTACTTGTTGAACGTTCTTATTGTAAGAACATATGATTTTTCAAATCTTTGTCTTATGATGTAAAAAATGAACTGAACAATTAGATGCTATTAAAGCTATTAAATTAAGATTGACATTTCAAGAATTATAATCAATAACAGAAGATAGAATTGGTTGATAAACAAAAAATTAAGAAATACTGTAAGCTGTTCAATGGATGGAGATAAAGAAGAAACCAATCAATCAACTAAGCCTAGGAATAATGGAATATACGAACAATGAATAGATTTTAAACTTATACCAAATATCAAATGTTATAACATTGATTATGTTATTTACATATTGAAGCTTAATTTGTACATTACTCTTATTATTGTCAGAATAATCAATAAGCTAAAAAAGTATTCATAATCACTTTAAAAAATTGGTAAAAATTGATATTCTTGGTTCAAATTGATGGTTTCATTTAGTCAGATTAATTTATCACTGTTAATAGGAAATGTTTTTCAAAATTCAATCATGTTAATGCGTATTGTCATGATGAATTTATATTTGATCAAATTTTGTACAAATTAAAATGATTGCTTACCATTTGTTCATAAAAAAATATCGCAATATATGTTGTAGTATGCAAAGTCATAAATAAACTGATTTTAGTTGATGTTTGCTTCTTCAATCGAGCTCGAGTAATTGTATAACCTTTGGCTAAAAGTATCAAGAGCAGTAAAAATAGAGATGTTGATGCTGATTCCAATAGTTTACCTGGATTAAGAAAAGAAATGTTAATTGCTAAGATCATTGAGTTATGATTGACAGAATTACCGATTAACTTTAAAACCTCGTGTGAATAGCCTCGATCAGCAAGAATAATATAATAAGTTGAAAGAAAGACTAAAGATGAAAATTGTAAAGTCAATGAAGTAAGGTAATATTTGTATGTTATGTGAAAGAGATGACGAGTGTACAAAGCATCTGAAAGGGAAGGTAAACAGTTTGACCATTAAGAGATTGACTGAAACATTGGTTAATGATGAATATTGCTTACATGCTTCAAATATTGAGGCTATCAGTAGAATGAGATAGAGAACTGTGAATACCACATCTGTATGCAGAATATCTGAGGAAAGGAGAAAAAGAAAAAGGTAATTAAGGTCAATGAGAAGCAGATTTGCAAGGAATCCTAATAAAGTCCGAAATGACATTTTCTATTCCTTTTGTTTTTCTTTTGCCTGATTGATATAAATCATTACTAATGATTGGAAACGTACAGAATTGATCAGCTGAAAAGTGTTTCAACAGCGGATTGTGGTCATCGTTTGTCATGGTTATACGATATGTAATCTTAAGGCCCTTTGAAAGAAAGTAAAGGTTAATAATGTTGATAGACTTTGGTGTTGATGAGATACCTTTTTAGATTGACAATTGCTGACTGCAATGAACCACCAGCGTTCCCTGGCCGATTGGAAGACTCTGTAATGTGAACATCTATAAAATTTTGTAGTTTCATTTGTATTCTCATCAAAAATCTCTTGTAAATGGCAATTGGAATAAACATATTCAGAGGTTAAATTGATAACTTGACCATTTTCCATGGACAAAACGCCTTCCTTTTCCTCACAAGTCTAAACAAAGGGAAAATAAAAAGTCATTAAATTGGATTCCATTAAAATAAAGATAACTTACTGTTGGTGTTTTGTAAACTGATGGCCATTGACGACGAGAATCATAGTAAAGAAGCAAATTTTGAACTTGATAATCCTGAAAAAGAAATGAAAAAAGATATCAGATTAAAGTGTGAATCAAAGTTTATTTCAAGTTTACTTTCCAGATGGTTTATATAGACAATATGTACTTACATATGGATAAGTTATCTCGTAATTGAATCGTCCTGATTTAGATAGGAAACAGAAGCGAGTAAGAAATGCCCAATTCTGTGAACAGAGTAAAGGTTTGATCATTTAAAGTGGAATAATCTCTGGAAAGATTTAAAGTCTTTACTTACCTCATGAGAAACGAGTTCACCTTCAATTATTTTGCATTGAGTTAACCTTGGAATGGTGAAAACAATGAAACAAATTGTTGAGATACAATCCTTTAGGAACATATTACTTAACCCTTAAATATCCATTAACACACACACTTGAACACCTTTAACAACGTCCGATGGAAACTGTATCCTTGGATAGCATGGTGATGATAATTTGTTGATCTTGAAATATACTCTTGTTTCATTCAATATTTTTGATCATTATTATAGTCTGATTACATCACAATAACATTCATTTCAATCTTGATAGAAAATATTTTTTGTTTAGACTTTAACTCAAGGTTTCCATGGATCTGTTAAGGTATACAGGGGAAAAAGTGACCTGAATATAATACTGAGTGAGTTCATCATCTTCTGTATCAATGATAATGTTACTATTGACCGTGATATTATTGCCAGATGAGATTCAAGAATTGATCGCGGTTTCCCCTAATAATGACAACTTTCAAGTCATTCATTATTTTATCGTCTTTTCAAGCTAATCGATAATATTTTTTGACGAATTTTCAATCATTTTCACGAAATTTAACAGCTTTCAGGGAAAATGATTGAAAATATTTAACATTTTCTCATTAGAGTAACATGAATCTAGTTTGAACAGCTTGAAATATAACATTGCTAATTGATGTTGATGGGTTTTTATCTTGATCCAATAAAAGAGGTTTGATACAAAATTGGTAAGTGAGAAGGGATAATAGTCATTAGATGCGTTGAAATAAAGAGCTATGCCAATGATTAATTATCCAATCATTTTATTGGTCTCATAAATTGAGGGATCATTGATTAACTTGCTTTTCACCAGTAGCTTGGTTAATGGTATGATAAAAATGTCTAGGTTAATTAAGAGTATAGATGGTGAAGATGATCAGACAAGATGAATGAAATACTAAGCTTGGCCATTTTACTTTGGCTCAGTATCGATTTTTGGGAATCTGGATTAGAAATTTAGCCATCTATTCATATGGCTGTCAATCATTTTGGATTAAGTTAAAATTAACATGATGAATATACAATAACAGTGTATTGTAAAACCAATCAACACTTTATTGTTGTCTCCAAAAGCCTGTCCAAACGTTTTACTCCTTTCCTGAAACAATTTGCTAGCTTGTCATTGCTGCCATATTTTTCAAATCCTCCTTGGCAATGGAAACTTTGTCTCGTCCGAATTGGGTAACATCTTTAAGATCCGACGATGAAAGGCACAATAATGTATTATATGAAATGTATGGATTGATTGACAAGTCCTTCAATTTGAAATCAGTAGAGTTTGAAAGGGTTTGTTGCTGGATCTAAAGGAAATAAGAAAGGAAAGCTTTAAGTGAATCGCTTATCAAGAATCCTTAAATTGTCCATTCAATTAATGAAAATTACTTTACCTGTCAAACACGATTATTTTTTGTCACTTGTTGCTATTTATTTAATTGAAGTACTTCAGTTTACGTAAACTATTAATAAAATAAACTAAAGAAGTTAACAAAAGTAACTATTATATAAGAAGTAATAAAAGAGTTGAGATTGCTTGAAAACCGTTTTTGCCAAACATAAGATTTTAATGGCGCCATAATCAAGCCAAGTTTGATTCAGTGCTGTGATTGGTTTCTTTTTTCTTGTTTACCTTTTTAAAGTTGCAAACATGTTTTTGTGTTAATTTATTACGAAAATTATTTTAAAGTTTCTTTAAATTTCTATCTAATTTTTCCTCCATTGAATTGCTGTAAATCACACTTCATTCTGATTGACTCAACCTTGTAGTTTAACCAGAAATTGACAAGGACAATTACAGATGAAGGAATACAACCTGATGAATTGGGGGAACGATTCAAGTTAATTGCTTTTACTTCTTGTGCATCATAAATATCAGTGAATGGTGAGGAGAAGATCAATTGGCTGATGAGAGGAATTGACAAGGTTGAAAGATGAGTACCAGTTAAAAAATAAAAGAACCAGAGAAACAAAATATGAAGAAAAAGAAGCCAAGTTGGATGAAAAGAAAGCTGGAGATTGCTTAAACCATGGTGGCTAGAAAGAGGCCAGAAAAAGGAGACATTATATGATTGAATGAGAAAGAAGGAAATTCTGTTTTCAGTGATCATTGAAGTACCAATGAAAAAAAGTAATGCTGAATACAATTGAATAAATATGTTTATTCTGGTTCTTTGTCACCATTTGTTATCTCACATCACCCTCTCATCGTTGCAGTTATCATCATCTCCATCATCTCCATCATCCCTATCTTCACATTCAACTTCCTATCTCTCCTTTTCCCATCAACATTACATGTAATTCTGTTTATTTGTTTATTGAAAAAGGTGAACCTTACTTGACTGTTACTATTTTCATGGTTAAATACTTCAACCAATCATCTACTAAACCACTTCAATATATTTCAATAAGTTTATTTTTCTTTTTAAGCTCACTCATTTATATTGCATCAATTATATTTCCAGTTGATTAAGTGACGCATACTTGTTAAATGAAGCTCCTATTTTTCCCTATGGATGGGTATGTTTACCAAAATATTGAACATCTTTCGTTCCTATTGTGTTGTTTGTTTTCCTTTGGTTAGCTGTGAGTTACGAGGTTAATTAATCTACCTTTGATGTTCAATTGTGTAAAATGTAAATACAAAGTTGAATTTCAATAGAAAACCTTTATTTTCTGGAAAAGTTCGATACCAAAATGTATGTTTCCTTCATGTCAAAAATATTTATCTGCATTTCTGTTCTGCATATTAGTGTTATCTTCTTGTGTATAGCTTCTTACCTTGCAATGACCTGATTTGTATTTATTTTTGCATTGATTCAATTTTCATTGGTTTTTTCAATTTTTTCCTTGAACCTCAATATCTGTTTTTGTCTAATTTTTCACCTAATTTCTTTCAGCCATGGACATGTTAATTCATGTCTTGGATTGGCTCGAATGTTACGTGATTTTGGCCATGAGTCCGTGTTTGCTGTCCCTAAAAATTGGTCAGTTCTAATTACTGGTCATAAATTTCCATTGGAGTTCATTGCGGACCCAGAAAATGCAAATTCATCTCAAGATCCTTTGTATCGATGGGCTGAGGTGGTACGTGCCTGTGCTCCTTCATTTGCCAAAACACCTTCAGAGCAAATTGTCGATCTTTATGCAAATGATACAAAAGAGTTTGTCGATTACGTGAAAAGGATTGATGACCAAGTTACTTCGGTAATAGAAAAGGTTGACCCCGACCTGATTGTGATTGATTTTTATGTTACTGTTCCTGCTGTTATAAAATCAGGTAAACCCTGGCTATTGCTTTATTCTGCCAACCCATTATTTGCCTATGATGCACCCAACACTCCACCAAGATACTCAGGACTTGGAGCAACTGATGATCCAAAGCTGTTTCAAGAGTTTCGTGCACTTGTTAAACGTGAAATAGTCGAGTTGAAAACTGACTTTGATGCTTATTTGAAGACCAAAGGAGTTGAACCTCATCCAATTGATTTGGTTGCTATCTCACCATACCTCAACCTTTATTCATACCCAGAAGACTTGGACTATACAGAGTTGCCAAAGCCTGAAAAATGGTTCAGAGTTGATCATATGGTTCGTGAAGCTGAAGAAGACGCAACAGATTTTGATGAATCCTTTTTCAAAACAGATGATAAAGTCATCCTTTTCAGTTTAGGATCCATGGGAAGTGCTGATGTTACTCTGATGAAAAAGCTACTTGCTATTATGAGTGCCTCAAAACATCGCTTCATTGTTTCAAAAGGACCTTATCACAATGAAATACAATTATATGACAACATGATTGGTGGTAAATATTTACCACAGATAAAAATCCTTCCTAAAGTTGATCTGGTTATAACCCATGGTGGCAACAATACATTCATTGAATCTCTCTATTTTGGTAAACCGTGCATTGTATTACCTTTATTTGGTGACCAGCATGATAATGCTCGAAGAGCAGTTGACAAAAAGATTGGTAAAGCGTTTTCTCCATATCATGTCACAGATAAAGAATTGCTTGGTGGAATTGATGATATCCTGAATGACAAAGAAATGATTCAAAGAGTACAAGACATTGGAGAAAAAATTCGAAGTACAAAAACCCATGCAAAATTAAGTGAACATTTAGTAAAGATGGTTCAAGAATTGAAAGCAAATTGATCGATCAAAATGACCGTTCGATAAACTTTCTTTTGATATAGATTTAATTTTTTGCTTATTTTTATTGTGAATTGTGAGGCAACCTATGAAAAAATCGAATTCATTCGTATTGCGCTTCATGTTGTTGTGTTAAGCCAACGTATTAACCGGTCCAGTAATTGTATACGAAATTATCATTTTTTGTAATTTGTTCACTATATGGATATGATGTTATAAATCATTATAGAAATTGTCTTTATCTAGACGAATATGTTGTAATATTTCATTTACTTATTGAATAAACGATGTTAATGTGAATGTCTTAAAACCACTGTTGATCATTTGAAATACCTGTATAAATTGAAAATAATGTATCCAAAATAGTCTGAAGTTGAATTTTGATAATTTGATTAATATAAATCAATTTTCAATAAGTAAACTAAATAACCGTTAATGAAAAATTAAATATCCAGGAACAACTTAAAATATAATTTTACATACCGTTAAAGGATTAGCTAAGTAAAGACTTGTAGTTTGATAACTTTTATCCATTTAAAATAGCGAAAAATTTCCGATTTCATGATGATGCCTTCATTGGAACCTTTTCTCGTCTTAATGTGAGCATGCAAAGAACGAAACTCCTTTTTGATTTATCAAAGGTTCATATAATTCTTTTTATGACTGCGAAGAGTTAACGGTTACAGGCCAAATTAGACAAAAACAGTCAATATCTAAAGACCTAGCTTAAGATTACAATGCAATAGCTTGTTGAATAGCATCTAAACATTTTCAACATATTGAATAGTTACATGATTTTCAGTCAGATTCTTGAGTTTTATCTAGCTGTTCCTGTTTTGCTTTCATTTGTTGTCGTCTTTCCCAGATATAACGATGTTTCTGCTTGAGGTAAACATCAGCAGACCTTGTTTTAGCTTCCATTAAATTCAACCTGGAAGTTCCATCAGTTGGTAGCTCACCATCTAAAAAGTAGAATAGATAAAAAAATAATGAGTTGAATGAAATCTGATGTTGAAATGATTGAATCTGACAAATAAAATTTAAAGCATAGAGATTTAAAGTACACACATTTTATCATGTAATTGGTTTGAGCATCTTCTAAATCTTTCTTAACTTCTCTACACCACTCGACAGAACCACTCGATTCAATACCACCAAATGCTTGCTCACAGTCAAGTACTCTACGGTCCAGAACTCTTATTATATTTTGTTCTACCATTCTGTTGGGAGAAAAAAAGAATATTTAATAAAACCAATGAAACATTAAAGGAAAAGCGTAAAGTATAAATATTACCTGTCCCTTTTGTATTGCATATCTGCTTCATAAAGACAAGCATAATCATCAACATAGCATTCATCAACTGTTGGAACTCGAGGAAATTTCCAATGATAATACACACTCTGTTTTCGGTTAGGGACAATCACTTTATCTGCAAGAATGCCAATGAAAAATTAAAGGTCATTAAATAGTAAAATGTATTGAATGAAAGACAAGATACATACCATGAAGCCAAGTTGCTGGTTTATCATACAAATTGAACACAAAATCAGTAATAGGTGACAAGTAGTTACGAGGAAAATTGTCTCTTTTTCGACCAAAAGGACCAATGAGATATCCTTCCTTTTTGTAAGAATGCTCTGGAATATTGTCAAATGGTTCCGGCATGGCTGGTTTAATTACTGTTAATTATTGAAATAAAATAACACTTAAGCAGAATGAAAACAAATGTCCTTCATGAAATTGAATAAAACATCGTTTCCAGCTGATATTCTCAATCGATTATCGATGCTGGCTAATGGTGACTGACTCAAAGAGTAAGAGATTTACAATAAGCCGCTTATTTCTTTTTATTTAAATCGGCTCCTTCATTGGGAAACGACTCATTGGCAACGAGAAGTTTACTTGGCTACCAGCTGGAAGCAATTCATAGTTTCTTTGAATAAGTTGTTTATTTTTTTCAAAGTCTGATTATTTGATTGTGCGTTTTATTTCTTAAATATGAATGACGATATTGATATGGAGTTATCCGATGGTGAGCCATCAAAAAGTACCAACCCTACTGAAGAGGATGACGAAGAGGATCCATTGGATGCTTATATGAAAACTATCCGGCAAGATTTGGCCAAATTAAGAGGAAGTGTAGTGCGTAAAGCATCGGACAAGAATGTTTATTTCGGTGTTTCTAAAAAGAAAAAAGTGGAAAAAGGTGAATTACTCGAGCAGAACCAAGATGCTTTGGAATATTCATCAGAAGAAGAAGGGACTTCAGCTGAGGATTTAGAAGCAATGAACACTAACTTGCAGAGTCAAGTTAATAAGACGAAAAAGCTTCTCACCATTACAAAAGAAGATATAACTTATATACCTTTCAATAAAAACTTTTATATTGAAGTCCCTGAACTAGCAAATATGACACCTCAAGAAGTTGAAGCTTATCGAGAAGAATTGGAAGGAATCAAAGTTAAAGGAAAAGGTTGCCCTAAACCGATTAAAACATGGGCGCAATCCGGTGTGAGTAAAAAAGTTATGGACATCCTTAAACGCCACAATTATACCAAACCATCTCCAATCCAAGCTCAAGCTATACCTGCCATCATGTCTGGTCGTGATATTATTGGAATTGCTAAAACAGGCTCCGGCAAAACTTTAGCCTTTTTAATTCCAATGTTTCGTCACATTCTAGATCAACCTCCTCTTGCTCCTGGTGATGGTCCAATCGCTCTAATCATGAGTCCAACTCGAGAACTTGCTACACAAATTTGGGCTGATTGTAGAAAATTTTCTAAATCTTTAAAATTGAGAGCTGTTTGTGTTTATGGAGGAACTCCTATTTCCGAACAAATTGGCGCTCTTAAACCTGGCGCTGAAATTGTTGTTTGTACTCCTGGTCGGATGATAGACATGCTGGCAGCTAATGGTGGTCGTGTTACAAATTTGAGAAGATGTACATACTTGGTACTTGATGAGGCCGATCGTATGTTTGACATGGGTTTTGAACCACAGGTAACTAGAATAATTGAAAACATGAGACCTGATAGACAAACTGTCATGTTTTCAGCTACTTTTCCAAGGATAATGGAAGCTTTGGCTCGACGAATATTGAATAAACCAATTGAAATTCAAGTTGGAGGTCGATCTGTCGTGTGTAAAGATGTTGAACAACAAGTTATCCTTATAGAAGAAGAAGACAAGTTCTTGAAATTGTTGGAAATTTTAGGACAGTACTTAGAAGGAGAACACAGTGCTATAATATTTGTAGATAAACAGGAAAAGGCTGACACTCTCCTACGTGAATTGATGCATGCTAGCTATAGCTGTTTGGCTCTTCATGGAGGAATTGATCAGCAAGATCGTGACTCTACTATTTCTGACTTCAAAAATAATCGTATTAGAGTATTAATAGCAACTTCTGTTGCAGCTCGTGGTCTCGACGTGAAACATTGTTACTTGGTAATTAACTTTGACTGTCCTAATCATTATGAAGACTATGTTCATCGCTGTGGTAGAACTGGAAGAGCTGGTAATAAAGGTTTTGCCTTCACTTTTATAACTAGAGACCAAGCCAAGTTTTCTGGTGATATTATAAAGGCTCTCGAGTTATCAGGTAACACTCCACCAGAAGCACTACAAGATTTGTGGCGCAGCTATAAAGAAAAGTTGGAATTGGAAGGTAAAAAAGTGAAAAGTTCTTCAGGTTTTTATGGCAAAGGATTCAAGTTCGATGAAGCTGAAGCTCAAATGGCCATTGATAAAAAGAAACTTCAAAAAGCTGCTTTAGGTATCCAAGATTCTGATGATGAAGATGTTGATGCAGATATCGATCAAGAAATTGAAAATATGCTTGCACCTAAACAAACAGTGAAACAAGTTTCGAAGACAAAAGCAACAGCAACAGGAGCTAACGGAGAAACATCAAACAATGGAAATGGTTCAACTCCATTAGTTGTGCCAGATACTGCAAATGCTAAATTTGAATTAGCGAAGAAGTTAGCTTCTCGAATCAAACTTCCAGGTGGAAAAACGACTTCTGCTGCTCAGGCTTTCCTTAAAGGTGAATCAAGTCCAAGTATATCCTCAGCCTTGTCTGCTAAATCAATTGCTGAAGCTAAAGCAGAGAGGATCAATGCGAAACTTAATTATGTTCCCAAAGATTCTGAATACAATGAAGATGACGCTAATCAAGACGAACATGCAAGTGGCAGTGATGTGTTTCTACGATTCGAAGAAGAACTTGAAATTAATGATTTCCCACAACAAGCAAGATGGAGAGTCACAAGTAAAGAAGCGCTGGCTCAAATATCTGAATACTCTGAGTCTGGTATTACTGTCAGAGGGACGTATATTGCCCCTGGAGCTAAACCAGGTCTCACCCCTGATGGCAAAGAGGAAAGGAAACTTTACCTTGCTATTGAAGGTACATCTGAACTTTCCGTTAAAAAGGCTCGAGACGAGATTATTCGTTTAATCAAAGAAGAGATTGTCAAACTTCAAAACTCTTATCAACCAATTAACAAGGGTCGATACAAAGTTATTTAAAATGTTCATATGTTCAGTGTTTAACCATATTCCATCAATAAATTACAAAAATCTACCAAAAAATTGCTAATTGTAAATATAATTTGCTATAAAACAATCACCCGTGAGCTGTAGAAACGAGAAAAAAATCAAAATGTGAATAATTCAACCATCTTATCATTTAATTATCTCATAATCTTTCACAACTCCAAGTGTAGACATGAAATAAACATGTAAATTCAATTGTTATCATTACAAATGTACCAGTTCAATTGAATGTAATTTTATAACCACTCAAATCCCATTTCTCTTAATATCTCTCAACCACCTTTTCTGGTTTAATTTAATAAAATACAAGTTTAATTTGCCAGTTAAATCCAGGTTCTTTACAATGATATAACCAATGATAATGATGAGCATGCCTTTAAAGCATCAGTATTTACCTTAATATAAAATAATATAACATTTATATTGCTCCAGTGAATCTGTTGAGTCGACGTAATCAACGGAACAAAAAGAAGATTCAAAGAGAAAAGAAGAGAGAACGAGAGAGAAGCAAAAAATAGAGAGACCCAAAAAAACTCCGAGTCTTACCTTGTTTATCATGCAGCTTAGTTTTTATCAATACAATCTTTTTACATGAAACTTTTTCTGCTTCATTTTCACTGAAACAGTCAATTGATTCACTTTATTATCATTATCAGCCATTGATTCAAATCGACCGGTACCTTTAATCCTCTCTTTTTAATAATGTTGTTGCATGATGGGAAACATTTATACCTATTATTACCATTGCCAATTGCCTTGTTACAATTTTTGCCCCGTTATAAAAGTTTATCAAAATAATGCTTATTAATATTTAATCTTGCCTCGATGTATTAATAAAATTGACAAACAAACAAACTGAAACACTACAAGTGGCGGTCAATTTAAAGTAATACAATATTTCAAGTTAAACAGTAAAGTTCATCATTTCAACTTTAACCGGTTCTGTGAGTCTTCAACATTTGTTTATATTTCATGGCAATATTTATTAATCGTAATGTTTGTTATTATGTGATTGTTTACTGGATAAAATGGTTTGCTCCATTAACAATACTGACCTACACGTAATCAAAGTCATGCCTAATCAACAAGATAACTGCCAATTACACCAATTACACCATTTACATCAACAACAACAACAACAACAACAACAAACCCAAGAGTCATCACCTTCATCATTATCTTCATCATCACCAATTGTATCTAACCATGAATGTAAAAGGGTTCACTTTGAAGGTGATCATTCAATCATTTCTGTCCCATTGAATAACCTTAACCCTTACTCTTGTAACTCATCGCCAGTCTACTGTCCAGGGAATCATTATCATTCCAATCAACATGGTCATCACCTTCATCATCACCATCATCATCATTGTCAACACCAACAATCAATAAATCAGGTAACAAACTTTAGTTCAACTGAATGCAGTGAAAATGGTGATGAACATGAAGAGGAGAATGGTAATGAAACTGTTGAAGGAAAAGATGAAAATGAAGTCGAAGAAGAAGAAGAAGAAGAAGAAGAAATTTTGATTGAAAACATTGACTCGGCTTGTTTCATCCAAGTTGATCAAAGTCTTTTAATGTCGATCAACAGGGAAAACATTGAATCATTGAAGGATAAAAGTGAAATTTCCAGTGTCAGTTACGAAGATTCAAAAGGTTCAATGCAATCAAATGTGAAAACAGGAAAACCTGGAAACCAAACACTCGACTCAACATCAGTGCAACCAATAGTACCGGCAACATCATCAGTTGATCCTAACTGTCCAATCAATAAACATATCACTATTAATCCATTGGAAGTGTGTTATCATCAATTCAATGGTAATAATGGTAATACTCAAGATCAATGTAATGATGAAAGTAAACTCCATCAGAATCAAGTCTATTCCCATCAACAGTCCAATTCAACTCTTGATAATCTTTCATCTCATTTCAGTCACCCTCTCCAGAATAACAATCATTTTATCTCTTGTCACCACTACCTAAATCATCATTCACACCCTACTTATCAACATTACCATCATCATCACCATCAACAAAAGCAACTGCAGACAAGTGATGTAGATACAGATGATCAACCTTCATCATCACCAGGATTATCAGAAAACAGTTTTAACCATTTACGTCCGGTTGAAACTAATACAACTGTACCAGTAACTGATACCTTGTTATCTCATCTTGAACCTCATCAACATGAACATTATCCCTCAGCACCATTTATGGATTCATTTTGTGATTCCTGTTGCCATAAAATGGACAAGCAAAGGTTAAACACTGCAAACAGGAATAGTGATGTTGAACACTTTATATCAACCAATTGTCTTTCCCAACAACAACCCTTCGAGATAACACCAAATGAACCGTGTTTCTTGTGTTCAACCTCACAACCCTCATCATCATCATTGACCCTTTTACCCACCTCTGGACATCCACATTACCATCACTGTTCCCTCCTCTCATCCCATCCATCAACATCAACAACTTTACCCATGAAATCGGTAAAGTCAGTGAAACATCGACCAACCGTTCGCTTTGCAACCAAACCGAGCAACTCTTATCCAACAGGATCACCAACTCTAACTCCTGCCTGTCACCCTTGTGATAAACCCTGTAAACATGTAAATCACTTTCAACATTCAAATGATGTGCTTGATCATCAAGATAAGGTTAAATTGTCCACTCACTCGAGTACAAATTGTAACAATAAATTGGCCAACAACATTTACTCTTATAATCCAGTTGAGTTGCCCAAAGAGCCACCAATCAATCATGAAGGTGTAAGTTATCTGCCAATTATAATTGTCGCAACAATCCTGACAATAACAACAGTTTTACTTGTCATAGCGTCAATATTTTTCATCAAATGTAAGTTTCAAATTCATTTCCAAATCAATTCTCGACAATCTCTGTGTTTCCAATCATAAATGATAAACTTGAATATTCACAGTTCTTCATATTATATTACTTTTCATTTACCATAAAAGCCAAAGTATTGCCTGTTAAACTTTAGATGCAAGGAACTCCAAAAAGACTGATAATTATGGTCAAACTGTGCAATGAATAATTGGATTTTCATGATTTGTGAAAATTGAGTAAATTGAATAAAACTTGCTTTCAATTGATTGGGAGTTCAAAGTGAGGCTTGAATTAAATTAGGATGAAATATAAACAATTGAAGGGAAAAATTGAAAAGTGTAAAGTGAAAATCGTCTTCAACTTAGTAATAAAGCTAATCATTGAATCATTTAACAAAATTGAATTACACTATCAACAGTTTCATCTGAATCGGTAACTCAGAGTTTCAAGTTTTTGTTTTTATTTTTACTCTCTTTGCTTGTTAATAGAAAAGTTAATAAATAAAGATTGAATTTGATTCATAAAAAAGCTAATCTAATCTAAATTAAACAAAATCAATTACGTGACTTGATTTTTACTTTTAAACCTTTTCCTTCAAGTTACTCTTTAACTGATCATTAAATCATCAAGTAAACCAATTTTTCAAGGTAATGATGTTTTAAGGAACAAAAACACAAATTGTTTTGTTTTGAACACATGAACAGGTAAAAGTATAATATTCAAATTAAGAGAATGCTAATGAACTGTCAAATGTTTCTTAATAAACTTGTTACTTTCCATGGAATGAATCGTGACTTTCAACAGCATGAAATGACTTTTCTTCAGAATCTTTCTTTCTTCTTTTTTATAGAAATGAAAGTCTTCATGAAAATCAGTTATCAAATAGAGAAAACTTAAAGTTCTTCTTCTTCAAAAGTGTTTAGCATTCGAACAAAAATGCAACAATTTTGATTAGAAATTGAAAATTTCAGTTTTCAAAAATCAGGAAATTCCATCGATAAACAATTTCTTGCAGAAGTTTCAACTAATGCAAAGCCTTCAACAGGTAAAATTGATTTATCACATTTTCATTTTCTCACAACTTGAATGCCAATCAATTGAATCGACTGTTTTCTCTGTTTGATCCACTATTGACTGATTAATAATTAATCAGCTGCTTCTTCACCCAATCAAGATAAATCACTTAACAAGTGTTTTTCATTGCTGACCTTCTTGCTTCAATTGCATGATATACAAATGAAAACCTTTTACTGATAACATTAATGGAAAGATTGGTTCAATTTGGAACTTGAAGTTTTCTGTAAAATTCAAATTTTAATATCACAATTGATTCCATTGAGAATCGACAAATTATCTGATTTTTTCTGCTTTCAATTTATTAGTCTTTTTCGTCTTCCTTCATCATCGATCAGAAAAGAGACACTTTTTGCTTCTTTTCTTGAAACAATCAAATCAATATTTTCTTTCACTTTTCAGTCTAATAATGATTATAAGATTATCATGCAATCAATGCATTTCATAATTTCCATCGATTTGTAAATCAACTAAATTGATGCAAAATTAATTTCTCAAATCCGTCAATTCTTCAATTCTGAAAACTCGGCTCAAGATGAATTTGAAAGAAATCAGATGTTTAATAAATCAAAGATTTCACGAAATTCGAGTTTCTTTCTCAGTTTGACTGAGCCTTAAGTAATGAGCTTCAGTATTGGTTCATGTTTGTCTGGAAAACATCAGAAAACATGAAATCTGAAATATCTTGAAAGGTATACACTTGAATGGACATTGAAATGTTTATCATTCTTCGAGACTAAACTTTACCTGTTTTAAGTGTTCAACTCAAGATTGGGAAGAAACTATTGAATTAACCAATATTTTTATAACCTTAATACTCTTGCAATTGAATTGATAACATTTTGGTTAAAAAAATTGTTGGATTAAAAAGGAATTTGAAATTGTTAGATTGTCAGTTTCAATTAACGATAAACGATTATTGTAACTCGAAAAGGCTAGAAAATCCAAAATGAGTTAAATCTTTGTGTTCATTTCAAAGGCCAATTTTATATTAACCGAACAAGAAAGACAACAAGAAAAAATAAAAGCTTAAATTGAACCATAAAAAGTATTAAAAATATCCTCAATGTAATCCTATCAAGCGAGTTTCAATGATATCAGTTAAACTGGGAGTGATTACTCCCAATGATGATGAAAGTAATAAAAGTTGTTGTTTACAAAATTTTAACCTTCAATTTATTCATCATTTTCTATACTTTTATTGCCTTTTTTCTGGTGAATGTAAAAAATTTTATGTTAATAATATTCATCAAACTTGATCAATGTTTGCGAGTGAAGATACAAGTACAAAGTGATGAATAAATTATCAAAGGTAAAGGAATGAAGAAAAATTTGAATTAATGTTATATCAATTAATAAAGGAAACTAAATTATTGAAGAGATAATTTCAGAATAGAATGTATAATTTTTATTCCAATCCTAGTTTCATCGAAAGCAAGGAATGAATGAACTGTCGATACTTTAAATTCATTTCAATATTTTCTCAAGAGGAAAACTCGCTCCAAAATTTACGATTGTCTTTGACTTGAGATATTCCAAAATCGAAAAATACTGTCATTCTAATTTTTTAATTTATATAAGCATATCGAGATCGTCCAACTCGGAGTAGATGATTTTTTGGCATTGAAGCATTCCGTTTAGTCATTTAAAGTCACTCATTTATTCATTTGACCATTGCACCATTTTAAGTGCATTTTTCTACGATAACAAGTTTTATCATGAATGATGTGAAATCCAATTTTACATGTCATTACAAAAAAAATGTCTGAGTTTCTATCACATTGAGTTAAAGAAATTACATTCAAGCACTGAACAGAGGCCAAATAATTCGTTAACTTTCAATGACCTTCAACTTGCAAAACTAAAGGTGTCAGGAATACGTAAAAGTCCTACTTTGCGACAACTTGTCGACTCTAGGACAGCTTTTTTCCTGGTGGTGTCTGACTTTGGAACAAGACCAAAAAAGTTGTTTTCCAGCAGCGCTTTTTTGTATCTTTGCAGGACATTTTTTCAATGGAAAACAAGATCAAATTTTTTATTTTTAAGATTTTTTATTGAAGTTATTAAAGTGCAAGCAACGATGCTTATAGCATTTTTCAAAATGATTTTCAAAGTGATGGGGAACTTTGTTGATCAACTTTGCTTAGACCTTTGCTTGAAAGTTTACCAACTTTAGTCCAACTTCCCCGGTTACCTATCTTTACTATTTGGACTCAAAACGCCAAGAAAAAGCAAACATAACTTTCACAAGTAATTTAATGACTGAAACGACATTCAACAAAAAATATCGGCAGCATGAGAATCGTACTTTTTACGCATATCCTTTTGTTCCTCCTGCTAATCCATTGAAAACTATTGACAACCATTCTACTCTTTTTATTTCATTTTTTTATAATGAGTGGACTTTATATTTGAACCCATTCAAATTACACTAAATTCCATTTACCGCATGAAACAATATTTTGTGCATAATTGGTCAAGATATTCCATGATACTGTCTTTTTGAGCACAAATCGTTACATTTTTTACTGCATATTACTCAGTCAGCAGGAAATTAACGTAAAGACTTGTATGCTAGGTTCAATCCCTTTTTATACTTTCAACTCCCGGTGTAACCTTTGCAGTTGTCACTTCAATCTATTCCAATAATCTTTGCAACCATGAGAGAGGGCAATAAGAACTGAAGCTTGAAGGTGCTTGTCCTAAAGGTACAGTAGCATTAAATAATTATGTATCCATAGAAGAGCTGTATTAGAGCAGGAAAAGTTGTCCCTAAGTAGAACTTTTACATAGTACTGATGTCACCTCAAAGCACTTTATTAAAGTCTCGAGACTTTTGGTTTCGAAGCGTGCGTGGAATAACATCTTATACAGTATAATTCAAAAAAAAACTGACAGTCAATCAATTGATCGTCACTCAGTCAACAATTAATCAAATAATTTGAAACTCATTTAATCAATTTTATGATGTTTGCTGAACAAAATTCATTAGAATCAATATTTTGTATGAACTACACCAGCGTCAACACACGAATGAATTCTGTTTGTCATTGAATTGATGAAGAAAGTTATAAAATCTAATGATATTTCTATGTAGTTCCAAAAATTCAATTTGCTATTTCGACTAGCTCTAATTTTTGATCTCGCATCAATTAAGCATTACCATTGTTTTGATTGATTCTTTTATTTGTAAAATGGTTGAACGTAAAGTACCAAAGATGAAGAGAACCTGAAAATTGAAGGCAGAGAAGTTACAAACTGGAGTCTTACGAATTGAGCTGTAACTGGATGAATTTGAAACTTTTTGCAACAAAATAAGATTTAAAATTACACAAATTTCAGAAGTTGCAACTTTGATGATCTTCTACCTTTGAAAAATAGATGCAAATGAAGTTGAACTGCGATTGAATAGAAAAGGTTTTTTTGAAAAAGAAAAATTTACCAGAAAAAAGCAAGTTTTCCAGTTTGCAAATTGATAAACGAATTGAAACAAATGAATAAAATTTGACAAGTTTAACCAGATGATGATAATGATGAAGGATAAAATAACTAGAAAAAGTAATTCAATACTTTATTGAAAATGAAAAGCAAATGTTTTCACCGTTTTCATGATATTTTCCTGATGAAAAAAGAAGGAATCCAAAAGAGATAACTCATTTAATTCGATATTCCAATTCAATCCTTTTTTCTTCACAATTTTTTTGACCAAACGAAGAAACAACAAGAGCAAAAAAATGGATAAGATAAAAGTGAAGATGAGATGAATAAAAAAGTGAACAGAAATGAAAAAGAAGAAGAAAAAAAGAATTGCAACTTGAAATGTTTTCCAGTTTACTCAGTTTTCCATCACAATAATGAATAAAAATCATGTTCATCTTAGATAATAGATAAGGTCATTGAGAGTTACATGTGATAAAAAGATTCCCAAAGGTCTA